TAATATCTTATCGACCAATGACACATTCATTGAATACTAATTTCATCGTCGATTACCAGAAAACTTTAATTGTTCTAAGTATATAATTTGAATTTAAGTTGTTAATAATTAATGGAAAAATACCAGTAATTAAGATTATTGTACATATTGACGTGGAAAAGCACAATAATAATGATTTTTTTGTCGAGTCGCCAGAGATTGCTCCTCGCATCCACACGTTCATGACGCAGAATCAGCACTCTGCCACTCTCTGCCACACTCTGCAACACTCTGCCACTCATTGCTGCTCTCTGTCGCACTCTGCCACACTCTACCATACTATGCCACCNCCACACTCTGCCACTCTCTCATCCTGCACCAGTAACGCCACAAACAAACACAACTGCGGACCTGACGTCGTCGATGCACAAAGGCAGTTCAATTGTTACCTGCCCCACCAGCTTATTAATGCAAATAAAACTGGGGAGACAAATTCGTGGAGAAAGGCAGCTGACAAATCGTCTAAATTTAAAAGTATGAGGGCTTAATTAACGGCCACTGGTTGATCGAATTTAAGTCATGATGACTTACGAATCATTTAGTTAGTGAATTATAGAAATAACAAAGACAGCAACCTGGTCAATAACAAAACACAATTGAAAAGCATAAATAGTTTGGCGATGCAATAAACACAGCTGTGAAGGTCAGCATCGATGCTGGAGTTTACAGAAATTCTTTTCCCGCGTCACGTTTAAGAACGAACTCTAAATTTCTGCTTAAATTCCAGGATATGGCATTTGTCACATTCCTATAGAAAAGTCTGAAATCTCAGCCAAAAAAGTCTCAAAAGACTGAAACCACCCTAGATGACTCTAGAATGTTTGCGAAATTACCCTGCCCATGACTGAAACTACCCTAGATGAGTCTAGAATCTTTGCAAAATTAATCTGACCAAGAAAGAAACCACCTAAAAGAGTCTAATATCTTTGCAAAACTACCCTTACGGAGTACGAGCCCAAAACTCAAGTTCTTCACTAAGTACAGAACCAAGGCAGAAGTCCATCTCTAATTCAGAACAAATTAGTGGGATTGACACGAGTTTCGGGGCCACAGGACATCAAAGGACCTCAGCGGTTCATTTTCTGCCTCTTCAGTTTCTTGCGTCCAGATCGTGGCACATGAAAGAACATCTTAAAAAAAAAGAATATTGAGTCGCCTTCCACGGTGAAAAAAAGAACTTAATACGCAGAGATAGCAACGGAAAAATGGGCTTTTGGTCTATTCATTCTACACTGCATGTTTTGCGTGTAATTACACATAATATTACGAGATATTGAAGTTATTAGAGAAAAACCAAAGATGTCGAACAGGTAAAATGCCTCAACTTTTATAGAGTCAAATTTTATAGATATTCGTTCGATATCACTTGCGTGGCTTCATTTGATAAGATGGCGTGTTAGCCAAAATCTTCGAGAGCAACTCGGAATCAGAAGAAATTCAATTTAGATGCAAAACTACGTATATTATAAAGTTATTACTATCAACATTGGACTCAATCCCGTGGCGTCATAAACGCAAAGGTAATTTTTATACCAGTTAAAAATTAATAATTTTCCACAACTTCATGCGACGTGTACAAAACATACACCCTATATATACAAATTATCGTTATATGCGCATCAAAAACATAAGCGTTTGCCAGGTAGAAACAATCCTTCAAAACAACAAGGCTTATGAAATAGATCTATTTCCGACTACAAAGAATACGCAGCGCGACCTACGTGAACATTGACACCGTATTCGACAATTATAAAAGTTATTCCTAATGTTTTATTGATACTATCGTAAGTTAAATACTACTGAACTTTTACGAGCGGATGCTCAGTCGTCTCTCAGGACTTCAAATGCCCAACGCAGCAACGTCGGCAATATTGAGGCGGGTCAAAAACTAGACAGGCTTCAACGGACGCTGGTCAGCCTCCTGAAAGTGGATCCTTTGATGACCTCCTCGCCGACCCTTGACTGCAACCCTTGTCTCGCCCTCGTCTCGCCCTCGTCTCGCCCTCGTCTCGCCCTCGTCTCGCCCTCGTCTCGCCCTTCGTCTCGCCCTCATATCGCCCTTCGTCTCGCCCTCGTCTCGCCTTCATCTCGCCCTCGTCTCTCCCTCGTCTCGCCCTCGTCTCGCCCTCGTCTCGCCCTCGTCTCGCCCTCGTCTCGCCCTCGTCTCGCCCTCGTCTCGCCCTAGTCTCGCCCTCGTCTCGCCCTTGAGGCCTCATAACCTGGCTGGCTAAGGCATTCATCGCTTTGCTAGGGAATAGGTTAAGGCACGCAGTAATGGTGCGGTGATGTTATGCCGCGGTGCGGTAATATAGCATGTCGAGGTGCCGCAGTGGTATGCTGAGGTGCGGTAATTGAGTGCCGTGGTGTGGGAAAAACTGCCAGTGGTGCGGTAGTTAATTATAAATTTTCAGCCAAAATGAAATAATTGTTTGCCTCGCATGCGCTAAATATTGGCAAAGCAGCATTATTATTATTATCATTATTATTATTATAATTATTATTATTATTATTCGTAATGCAGGTCAATATTATTAGAATTACGCGGTGGCAACCGCGATGGTTGCCACACGCGCGACAATGGTAGCAAAAAATTCGGCAACGGCTGCCACAGATACGATAATTGCTTATATATAAACGCCATTATGGTTGCCTCCAATGCGGTAATGACTAGCAATAACAACCGATTGTGCAATTACGACAATCTCATTCGCGTGAAATTAGGTAAATTGTGAATATTCGCGAATACTGAAATTAAAGATGAAATGACATGTGAACGAATATGAATAGGATGAACAGAAATTCAGACAACAGCTGGAATACAGTCTGTAAAAATTTAGACATAGGTATAGTATAATCTGTAAAAATCAAGATTAAATGTACAGATGCTATGTCAGCCTCTCAAACCCCAAGCAAACTTGATTATTTAACTTTAATTAAGATTTTTAATCAAGTAAATAATACCAATTCCAATAATAACTAATTATATATGAAATACTGAAGAAATATCGCTATTACCTCGTAAAGTTCGTCAAGTGACCATCCGCACAATTCAATAATCACCAATGATATATGCAATACTGAAGAAAGATCGCTATTACTACGTAAAGTTCGTCCACACAATTATTTTCGCATCGGGCGGTGACCTTGGGTCATAAAAAGATATCGCGGCGCTTATGTCGCCGGATTGTGTCGCCGGATTGTGTCGCCGGATTTTATGTCAGCATCACTTTCATCTCGACATGATCTGGTTGAGGCGAACACAAATGCTGCTCTTCATTCCCACCGCAAGAAACCGAACACTTTTAGCTTTTTTCTGGACCTCATTATGAGGAAGAAGCGTCGGCCGCAGGCGGCCTGAGTATTTTTTTGCAGATTTTTTCTTGGGTTCGTTGTAAGGAGACCAGCTAGTGAAGAGTACCACTACGAGAAATGAGTGAGTCTTTGTCAAAACAACGATGCAATTTTTAAGCTTGTGGTTGGCATCCTGATCCATATTTTACAGGCTAACGGCGTATCAGTACTACGCGCAGAAAATGTATAACTATTCAAACACTGTGGCCCTGGAATCGCCGTGATCCGGGGACTTCCAGCTTAAATTTAAATTGAAATCTTTCAAGTTTTAAATTAAGTAAAAAGTTAAAGTGTAAATTTATATATAAAACGTTACAGTTTTAATTTTAATTTAAAACTTTAAAGTTTTAAAGTAAGTAAAAAGTAAAAGTTTAATTTTAAATTTAAAACTTTCATTTAGAACCGGTCACACTCAGAATAATGAATGGGTTATATTGTACAAATAGTGACCCACTATTACCCATGGCATTAATGCGCGATCTGAATTAGTCTTCACTATCTTTTCAAGCGAAATATTTTATATAAATTACAGGATTCAATGCTGAAGTATTGTAAATTGAGCTTTGTTGTCCAGAGACCTTCATTAAATTCTTAGGAAACTAATCTTGAAATTTCGCATAGACCTAAAGTCTTAAACGCACTTCTTTTACATTAACAAAATTTGTATTTTCCTTACTATAACAAAATAACCATATAGGTTTTGGTAAGTTTGCTGATTTAATTAACGAACATATTTTATGTTTCTTATTAAATTGTGAATTCATTGATTTTAAATTAACCCGCTAGCCACTGTACGTGAGCCGCGCGAAGAACCAACTTATCCTCCCGTATTAATCCTTTAACAAAAATGTGTTTCGTTTTAATATAATAAAAAATCTCTTTTTGCTGACGAAAGCACGGATTTTTATACATGGAGTATCAATGTCCTAGTATGTATATGATACCCCAGCCGAGGCAGCGATCTTGTCTTGCTTCAGCCAGAAAGAAAGAAGATAAAAACCAAGAAAAAATACGCGCGTCTAATCAGGCGAGTAAAAATGAATGGCGCTGCTAAGATATCTGGTATCCCACGTTCTAACCTGACTGGTAAACGTATATTGTATTGATAATATATTATTATTTTTAAGAATGTTTCTATTGCCGTTACATTAATATTAATGTAAGAAATATCGTTAGATGGTGCTCTGTGATAAAATAATCATTGATTTGTACATCGTACATTAAAATAAGTTCCACGAAGAAAAATCCTTACTCTCTTCACGCTACTTTTATCTTTGATTTGTACATCGTACATTAAAATAAGTTCCACGATGAAAAATCATTGCTCTCTTCACGCTACTTTTATCAATTAAACAAGTATTGCTCTAAGAATAAATAATTATTACCTCCCTTTGTTTTCACTAATAATTGGTTTGAAGGCTCATGTTGACATAGGCACCCACCTGCCTGATCTCTGTCAAAACCTCGCGAAGTAGTTCCTGCAGCGCAGAGTTTGGGTGCTGAGGAAGACCGAGGTGTGACACGGCTGTGAAAGTAACAATAATTTCCCTGATACAACTTTCAACACTAATGAAGTATAGCAGGAATAACAATATAAAATTGATTGTTACCTCGTTTAGTGTCATCGCGAGGTAGTCCGTGCAGCGCAGAGTTCGGGTGTTGAGGCAGACCGAGGTGAGGTGCGGCCGCGGAAGGATACCACGCCGCCCAGCCCGCGGCCGCGGCGCCTCCGTTGAACATTCGCAGTTTGTCGTAAACGCTTTCGCTGTTGCCGACATTTGCTGCTGATTGTTCTTTCTGCGTCGCTAAGTTACGCAGCACCCGATTTATTGAGGACACCTGGCAACGAATGAAAAAATTATTTTGCGGGATGTTTAAGAAACCTGGCACAAGAAAAAATCTTGAAGTTGTGTTTCGAACACCTGCTAAGAGGGTTGATGGTTTGCAGTGGTGTTGTGATGGTTTGCAGTGGCTTGCATTATAAGTTGTGTTTAGGACAGTGCAACCATTTCCTGCCTATTGTTATTTTTGAATTGTAAGTTTTCTGCCTTCGTGTGTGCCTAAAAAAATATGACTTAAGATTTACATGCTAACTTGAAAATCAAACTTAAAAATTTTGCTGTCCAGCCGCTAGGAAGCGAGGGTGAGGGAGTGAGGGAGGAATGAGGGGAAGTGAGGGAAGTGAGAAGGGAATGAGGGGGAGTGAGGATGATGAGGGCTAGTGAGTGGGGGGAGAAAGGGGAGAGAGGGTAAGGCGGAGTCACTGAAGCGGAAGAAAATGGCGAATTAGCGCAAGCCCTCGGGCGAGGGGAGAAGAGAGGAGAGGTGAAGAGGGGAGGTAGGGAGGCGTGGGGCAGAATGGAGGTAGAGAGAGAGAGGGGAAGTAGAGAGAGGAGACGAGAGGGGAGGTAGAGAATTGAGGTAGGGAGGATGGGAGAGAGCGGAAATAGAGAGGGGAAGTAGGAGTTAGGGGAGGTGTAGAGGGGAGGCAGGGTGTGCTGTTGATGACATTAAGTGAAGTAAAACTAAATGCATAATCCTAATTAGAAATTACATCCGTGGCAGGGACGGCCGATCTCCTGACAATCACTCATATACATTAAATTACTGAAGGCGATACAGGATTAAAGCACTAAGATAGCGTTCATAATAACTCATAAGTGAAATCTTCAAACTCATAAGCGTTTTTTATTGTAGACATACTTAAACTAGATTATTATTTGCATTTAATGTGTACTTTTCAAATATTATTAATTTATCTCCTGTCAATAATGACGTCAGTATTATAACTATCGCCTAGAATGCCATTTAGTTATTTTTCTGGCAGACTATATCGCAATAATTTAAGATTTTCATCCGCCTTTTACCACTGAAATGTTGACATAAAATGTAAAATATTGCAACATCGGTCGACCATTCGAGATTTTGCATTAATTGCGTTCCTTTAATTTAATGAGATTACCTTTGCATGCCCTATATATTCATTATTTAATTTTGATTAACTTGAATTATTACGTCAACATTTTTCTTCTCCACCAACATCATTCCTTCATTATTTCTTCATCATCTTATTCATTTATTTCCTTCATAAAATTTTAATAATGACATATCATCACATGACTCAAATCGATACAAAAACTGCACATGAATTCTTGCGTCATTCGTAAAGCTGCTATTATTATAGCAATCGAATAGCATTCAGAATCTCTTCTATATGAATAAGAACAAAATCACTTTCGAATTAAAAAGAGCTGCTATCATTCCCGATTTATAACTTTCGCATTCTCAATAGCTGTTATCATTCGGTCAAATCATAATAGCAATCAAGTAACATTCACATTCAAGATATCGTCTACAATTTACAATCAAGTTACATTCACATTCAAGATATCGTCTATCATTCACTTTAAAATAACGTTCGCATTCACACGAATTGTTATATAACTACGCTCACTCGGACACAATAACATGACAATATTGTAAATAACATGACATTATTGTAAATAACCTGACAATATTGTAAATAACATGACAATATTGTAAATAACATGCCAATATTGTAAATAACATGACAATATTGTAAATAACTGCTTTATATACTGTAATTTCTTGTACGCTAGAAAGATCCTAACGAGTTGCTTGCATACCCGCGCCGGCATAACAAGTAACATTAAAGTTAATTTGAAGAAAGTACGAAAAACGGTAAGCAATTTCATAAAAAACTAGTATTTGCTACTTGATTGCAGGAAGGAATAACAGGACTCGGACAAGTTTGTCAGTTGGGACATATAAGGCAAGTTCATTTCTGGACGACATGAGCTAGCCTGACATAGGACCGAGGTAGCTCCGTGTAGCTGTCCCAGCGAATCATGTCACTCTATAGTTCAACTTGGGACTGCGACTTGTGACTGAGATATGCGACTACTGGACATTAGATTTCAAGTCCGAGAGACCACCCGCGACAACATTGATTGCTTGTCTTGATGAATTTGTATTGCATATCACGCAGAGGAATTGGTGAACGGTGCGCTGCAAAACACAACCATCATTTTAATTTATAAAATCGAATCGTGCATCTGTGTTGATCTAGTGATATTCCAAAAGCGTATCAAAATTTAAAGTAAGTAATTTGAATTCATTGAAAAGTTGACGGTAATTTTCGCTCTCTAATAATCCCAAATTTTTGGTGAATATCCGTTGAAATGTTATATTAATTCGATATGGACGTTAAATCACGGTTCTCATCCCACTCATCAAAAGCACTCAGTCATGAAACCTTCGATAAAATGGCACGCAACTGTAAGAAAGCACGCAATATTCATTCACAAATTTAATGATGTATGAATTTGTGAGAAATTTCGAGATTGCGATTTCGAATTGTAGAAGTCGATAAAAATTAAATTGAGAAATCTCGGGTTGAGAAATTATAGTAATTTCGAATAGTGAAATTGAAAAATTTTGAATCGAAAATTCTGGAAAATTAAGAATCGAGAAACTTGAAAACTTCAGAATCTAGAAATTCGAAAAAGTGCTAAGCGATAAATTTCAAATTGACAAATTTATAAATTTCAAATCAAGAAATTTCGAATATAAAAATATCGAGTCGATAAGTTTGACATTTGTTTTAGAAAGACCACGCAACAAAACATCAAACGGCCTGCGCAGCACTGAATTGAATAGCTTGTTATCCTTGTCATCAGATAATCAAGGCGAATTAATAACAAACTGCGTGTACACGCGACCGCTGTTGTCCGAGGGGAAGCCTTATTTGACATCGATAACTCTAATAACATTATTGATAATGATAATAACATTATTGATAATGCTAATAATGTTACATGTCGTAACAATGGCTCGAGGGCGGCGGCCACAACATTTAACGACTGCGGCAAACAAGATAAGTTGCTGGTGCGCCGGCTTCACATGACTTCAGCGTGCGCGGTCCTGAGTGAAAATATCAACACGCCATTATATTATGAAAATTTCACTGATAAAATCTGTATTGAAACTGTAGACAGTCTATTTTTTATTTGGAATTTGCTTTGAATCTGCCGTGGAGATTTAAAGCAATGACATAAGCGGAGCAGAAATGTGATCGTTGTGTGCATTGTATTTTGTACGTTTTTGTGAGATTTATGAGTTTTGTCACTTAAGAATACGAGAAATTTATTGTGTAATATAGCAATAGTGCCACTGTAAATATCACAATAGCAGTGATACAGCTTGCTGATGTACGTAAAATAAAATATATATGTAATGTACATGTAAAAATGTACGCTAATCAAGCCCTTCACAACAGCCATACATCAGCAAAAATAATAAGCTCTATTTCTTCCCCACTTCGATTGCGATGCACAAGCATTGAATTCTCATAAAATGAACACATACACCAGCCTCACTGCAGTCAGTGTTGTGTATAACCATTAATTAATTTTTATAAAATAAGCACGTACGCCAGCCTCACCGAACTCACTATTATGCAACACGTGAAATAAACACATTCAACAGCCTACTGCACTCAATACTATTAACAACCATTAACTTCTCATAGCATGAACACTTCTGCGTAATGCTGGTATAAATCACTTGGTATGAGCAGATATGCGGCTCGCACCGCAGTCTGTTTACGCGATAACGCACATGAGGCGCGTACAAAGGCCACGGTGAGGCTCGTACAAAGGCCACGGTGAGGCACAAACAAAGACCATGCTGGCCGAGACGCCCGGTATCTTTAACAAGATCGCCTGGGTCCCTTGGGGCCCCAAAGAACCGCTAATAGACTTACAGGGTCTTTATAGGGTCACTTAAGTGACCCGCGCTACACGATAGGGTCACTAGTGGGGCCTGGTGGTGTTCTGAAGGAAAGCTGTGATTGTTAATACAAGGCTGTTACTAGATGATGGATCGATGATGTTTATAGTACTTACGAAATATTTATTATGAATTTGAATTTTATTATGAACAAATTGGTTGTCTTTTTAGAAATGATGCGTAGATTTTTCCGATGTGAAAGGGCCGGAATCGATGATTTTTTATTATACCTACGAAATATTTATAATCAATGAATGTAAATATTATTTTGTGAACGTCAATTGTTTATCTCTTTTACAAATGATGTTTAGATTTTTTTGATGTGAAAGGTCCGGATAATTAATTTTGTTCAAGGAAGATTCAATGTGATGTTGAAATTGGATTTAAAATGCAAAACGCTTCGCGGGTTTGGACACACCGAGAAAGAGTGAGTAAATGAATAAATAAGACACGAAAACACCACGTATACGTACACACACTAGTATACAATTCAACCAAGAAAGCCAACTGACGGGATTCATCGCTTGACTTTTGAATTTATTTGTGCTCGTATTATTAATTCTTGTATTTAAGTGTAATTTCTACCTACTAAATTGCAATATTTGCGAGAGTCTTTTGATTTTATTCAACACGGAATGTTGAACGTAAGATTTTCGCTAAAATTTCCCTCAACTCTACTGCTGACTCAACCGAGGGCAGCTCGTCTGCCTCTGGCGACGATCAGAGGGCTACCGACCCTCAGGAACCCTTATTCGATTATAGCATAACTCCGCGTAAACGATGGAGAGGGCGCTTAACGAGCTAAACCCCCCTACCTTCTTACGCCTTCTTGTTTCCTTCACTTCCTTGCACACTCATTCCTGAACTTATTCATCATACCCTCACTTATTCCTCATTCCCTCATTCCCTCACTTATTCCTCATACCCTCACTTATTCCTCATTCCTTCATTTATTCCTCATACCCTCACTTATTCCTCATTCCTTCACTTATTCCTCATACCCTCACTTATTCCTCATTCCTTCATTT